ATATAACATATACTTAGACTCGTATTATCTTTAAGATCTTAATTATATTTCTAGCAGTAATACAATGGTGAACTGCAAATTTGTTTTCTACTTCATAATTTGCAGATCGTTATTCATATCTAAAACTAACATCGGTTAATATTCTATGCCCATTTATAACATACATGTATACATGTAAGCTATACCGGTACATAAATGTACCACAATCATATCAAAAATATATGAAACGGCTTCATCATCCAATAGCATAACTGACACGGTTTGGAACATGGAATTTCTACAAGTGAAAAGGTAACATTTGTGAAATATCTATTTATCACAGATCAAGAAAATGCATTTTAAACATAGTAAGTCATTCACAATTGTATATCAATATGGGCACTTTAACCATGCGGTGCTTCTGTAGAGCGAATTGTATTTCAAAGCAGGTTACATCTCTTAATTCAACGAATGACTCAGTTTATATGCCATTGATCAAATCTATATACAACACACATTTCCGCGTAATATTTGCATCACAATAATACATCTTAGAAACATATAATATTTAGTATCAGTGGCTTAGCTATATTATACACATACAATATTTGGTATTGAAAAATCAATATACCAAAACGGAATGCAAACTTTGTAATCTCCATCAAATTTTTTCTTCAAGTGCAAATATCAATACAGGACATTCTCGTGTATCACAACACAAACACAATGACAATCTTTAATTTTAGTGAAAACTGTTTCATATATACAGTATACAGTTAGTGCACATGTTATATACTAGGCATCAGTATAACTTTGAAATACCAGTTATAAGACATTTCTTCTTGCACAAATGTCAGAAAGAAACGAGATAAGTGTTTCCCGTAGCTTAACTATCACACGGATATTGACTTTTTGGTAACATTCCTCATAAGACATGGCTAAAGTGAAAAGGCGTAACATTTAGGAAATATTAACTGGTCATAAAGCTAGAGTTAATACAATGCTCTTTGTGAAGGAAAAAACACACATATACATTCCTTGATAAGGGCAAAGAAGAATGAACTCCAAATATCATACAATACTCGAATAATCATTTTAAACGATCCAGGTACATTACTACAGTTTGCAATTGTATATAATCAGAAGTTAGCAGAGTATTTTTTTTTTGTATTTGAGTTTTGAATTTCAGAAGGAATTTGTTGTCTTACAAATAGATAATAATATTATACACAAATATAAAATACAGATTGAAAACATCGTCTGGTGAACGGCTAAACGGCTTTACAAAACAAGCCTTACATGTATATCGGAATATCATTATGCATATAAAACTCAGCAAAGACTTAACTTGTCAAATACATTTGATATTTACATTATAAAGCAAAGGTTCATTGTACATTGATATGAGTTTTAGAAATGAATAAACCTGCATTTATAATATGTCTGTTATGCGCTAAAGATCTAGATTTGTACCAACAAAATAACATGACTACATGTATGTACATCATGATCATGATTCGAACAAAATAACTTGTTATGTTATGTTTACTATCTCATGCGACAATAACAAAAACAATGACAATATATTTTATTTTGTGCTTGTAAACAATTATGTACATAACAAGCAACCTCAAAATAACAGACATCAAATTCCTACCATGATATAAGAGATATAATATTCATAGAATTGTGGATATTAACCAATATACGTGCTTAAACCGTTGATTCCTTTTGCTTTTATACAAGAAATACATTGCCACTAAATGGTACATAATAAAGATGAACAAAAAAAAGGAGTACTATTATTTACATCAACCACAAACAAATTATTTTTGTATTTCAATGGTGAACAATATCCTTTCATCATATAGGAAGTCATGGTTTATTATAACAACATAATATCAATATCACATATAACTATGCCTAGTATACATACATTAAACGTTTCAAGAACGGCATATTTGTGTAATACCATATCCAGTTTAAATAAAACATTCTTGATAGATTTCTTATAATGAACAAAATTTACAAATGTGCTTCAGGGAATGTGCCTTTCTGAATGTATGGAATTACACAATTCCCATGACTGCAGAGACACTGTATATTTACATGTAGGCTATATGCATCCAGAACAATCCAATACAATTAGGCCTAAAATACGAATCGCTAATGATCATCATCACTTACAGATTCAAAAACTGATGCATGATAAGCATTTGGACTATCGAAGTGATCATACCTGATTTCAATAAAACAAAACGGTGAAGAACATGAAAAACCACTACATATGAGTCATTCCATGGTATGTAGTAACATACCGACAAGAACAAAGAATAAGTGTAATACGTATTCTAAATCCAGCTATCATCCCGCTGTGTTTTAGAATAATAATGCATCGCATCATATTGAAATGATAATTGACATTACAAAATACACCAACGTTTTGCCGCATTGCATTACGATATAAGTGGCTGAACTCTCAAAGCAGAGAGATCATATCTGGTTAATGTGTAGGTTTCTTTAACAAGTTACGTAATAACGTAATATCATTGTAAATATATAATGCAATATAGTGGAGTATATGTAACAAGTGTATAAACTTCAAATTTCTCACCGTCATTACATGGAAAACAAGTATATACATTACTGAAATAACGATGAAGCTTGTAATACAGACATAATTGTTGTTGCCACTTGCATAATTACGTCATAAAATCTTCACATAATTTCGATTCATTCCCTTTAGTACGCTAAAAAAGAAGATTTTAACTCTAAGTATTTGTGAGTTTGGAGCAAGTATCAACCGTCAAACCATATAGTGACCTAAAATACAACATCAATTTTATTGGCCTATATAATTGCTGCCACAGAGTTTCCTAGAATGCTTTGTGCTATTTCAAATAAAACAAGCGTGAACTATGACTTTGTTTTCAAATGTTTTGACTTTGTAGGGATTAATTAATAAACAAAATTCATACAATTTTACCATCAAATTAAATAAAACATTATTATCATTCTCTTCATATTTTGTTTTGATGTAAAACGCTGTGAAACAACGGTTAGTTTGTAAGAGAGCTATACAAATGTAATTATCATGACTCCTATATATCATGGACACTTGGAAATATAACACGAGCTTTCATATAATGATCAGTTTCATCGACAGCTGTTTTCAATATTATTCTCTTGTCTCTTTTTTTCTAATGAAAACTTCATTAGAATATAATAGCATTTCCTTTATGAGGTGCGTGTATAATAGTTAATAATAAACATATAAACTGGTATGTCTCTATCACATATACAAACTAATACCATACCATCTACAATACAGCGCAAGAAACTGATTATTATACATGTACATTTATCTACAGTTTGAAGGTATAATAAACGTTTACAAATTGTCTCTTCAACTTCCGGTGCATACCCAATGTCAAAAATGTACAAAATCAATGATGCATAATAGTATTATTAAGTAGGCGATGCCTCTTTAATATGAATATGAACAGAACTTTCATCTTGTCATAATTTATAAATAATGCCATCCAAGACAATATTTACAAAAACATCCAATCGGAAATTAATACCCATCAGGTACTTATGGATGACGTTATAACGTCATAGTTCAAGAAGAATCGAAGCACGCGCTACACTGACAACATTTCCAACTTCAATATCACATTATCAGTGTTCTCTTCATATCTGTCAGAACATGATACAAAATAAAGTACAATACTGTATATACATACATGTGTGCGTGTGTGTGTGTGTGTGGATAATCTTGCTGACATAATTATTCTGACTGATTTAATCTTTTAAGACATGCACGTAACAACGCATCCATAGTTGTATGACTAATTAGGCCTAAACGATTCAATTATATACAAGAAAATGTATTTTCATGGAAGTATTAATTATGTATTTTCATGGAAGTATTAATTATGTACAGGTTGATGACATCATATCATACAACAATTCAACAACATTTCAAAGCATAAATCCATTTTAGGTCGATACAGTGCATCAAACATAGATTTCATCTGAATAATTATTTATTCAAATAAATGAAAAAGCACTTGCATTGCAACCATTTATGATGTGAAAAACTTAAGTATTGACAAACTTGTTGATATATCTACACGTATAACTTTATCTTCCTTATAAGCACATCTTATACAATGTACCAGATTCAAGTTTATTATTGATTTATCAGTTGATCACAACTATTTCAACACACGCTGATAAATATAACATAACAAATCATAGTTACATATGATTCCAAAGTTAGTTTAATATTAATCACATTATCTGCCAATCTTGTTCAGGAGTCGATAATATAATTATTTGAGAATTCTCCTTCTGGGAGTATACATGAGTGACATTAGGAGGATAACGGAACCAATTGTGCAATGATCCTATTTCGGTTAATTTTAGTCTCTTGTAGCTATCCTTGAGATCTCAAGTTGAAGCAAGATAAAACGATTTTATTGATGATTTTTGAAGATATAGAATATCACATTATTGTATATCGTATCCATGCGCTACGAGTTGTAATCTGATGAAAATTGTTTTATTACAATGCAATGGACCTCGAAATCATTATGAACAGCAAAGGAATATAAAATGCAAGCTATAAAGTGGGATATGATTATAAATAATCCCCTACGTGGAGCAATTTAGATGTAAATTAAGCCCACGCCGTCACAATATATCAACATAGGGTGCAAATATAATTAAAGTAGCCTCTAATCTATTTGCATTATTTTTTCACTCTCTTTAATCAAGTACAATTTGCTTACAATAACGTTTCTGGTACACCATATTAGTCAACAAATTGCTTTTAAACATGCATCATTATTCTCACAAGAATTGGTGTTTGAGATTGGGACCGTTACCTTCATGACCATGAAGTGCTTCGGAATCTCAGAATATCGAGATCATATTCTGTTTACCAAGAATATGTTTAGTACACATATTATGTCTACAACGTAAGCAACAAAGATTGAATGAAGACCGCTGAAAACCTAGAATTTCAAATGCTTTCGGATTTCTTCTACGATGTCACTAGCACATTGCCTGGCGCTCTCTGCATCGGACTGGGAGAACCGTTCACATGGGACTCTGTGTGGAAATATACTTGCCCCTGGATACATACAGTCGTTCACATCGACCAGTATGTTCAGTTGACGAGCGCGGTCAGTGACGGTCTGGTTACGGAAGTGACCCTCCAAATCAGTCACGAGGACATCCAGGTTGTGCGAGGGGTTAGAAGTCCCACGTGAGGCAAACTGAGCTGCTTTCAAGGCCTTCTCCGCTGCATGGTAACTCTTGAAGCACACCCATTCGTTAGCTTCTTTTCCAAGATCATTAGAGGATGCTGCCAGGTCTGATGTAGCTTGTTTAAACCAAGTTGAGGCTCTTGGCATATCGGGTTCAGGTGTATCGTCGAATGAAGGAGGACAAGGCCTAGATCTTGCATTACCGAAATATCCCCGATCTCTGTAGCTCCTGTGGTAAGTTTCTCTCCTCCTTCCTACCTGCCTTGCCCAGTTTCTCATAAATTCATAGAAGGCATCGTCGAAGAAATCGCCTGAAGATCCCCGACTCTCCCAAGCCTGTCCAGTGCGTCTTCTCCCAGCTTTTAGGCGCTCAATTTCATTTTGCAAATGATTGAGGACTTTAGTAGCAAGGTGTTTTCTTTCTGGAGGATGATTGTCTGGATGCAATCCCAACCATATCCGTTTGACTGCTTTCTTTCGTTCGTCTTTATCAAGTTCCCATATTTCTTCCAGTTGATCAGTAACCTGTTGTTTGGCTTCTTCAATGTTCTTGGGATAAGGCTGTGGTTTAGGTGGAACCTCTGTTCGGGGAGGAACTTCTGTTGTAGGTGGAGTCTCTGGTGTAGCTGGGCCCTCTGGTCCTTGGCCATCAGATGAATGACAGTACACCATTATTGTCATGCCAGTATCCACAGACTCTTCCAGCATCAAGAATTTGAATAGATCCAATCCACTAACCCACACAGGATCTTCCTCTCCTATGTCGATAAGGTATTTGTTGCGGAGAGGAGAAAGGAGATTTTCAGGAACATCTAGTACTTGGGAGTAGACATGAATAGGGATAACGTGTATATCAATGTCCGTGTTGATCTGATACGCCACGTATTCCCCTTTGAAGAAACCGAGGTAGGGATCTTGCTCCAGCAGATGTAAGATATCACTTGGAATTCTGGAACCTAGCTTTGGTGGAGCCAATCCTTCATCATGCTCGTTAGCTCGTCCGTCTCTTCTAATCAGCTTGTAACTACGAAGGAGTTTGGGAATCTCACGTGGTAGATCCGCCGACAACATGTCCACTAGGAAAGGAAGATGCTTCTGACCAATGCCACCTACATGGCGTAATATGGCTTGTGCAATACCCTTTACGACTTTCATGTATGCTGAACGCTCATTGTCCTCGGTATGCACAACTCTTATACATGCCTTTTCTGCATCAACGTCGTTATAACTCATGTGGTAACGTAATTTTGCTTCACTACCTTCAATCCTCCTCCCATCAATGAACAATGAGGTGGATAACTCAGCCATGCACTGTAGTCTTAGCTTCTTAAGCTTGTCAATACGTGGGTGATCAGCATTGACGTCAGTATCACTCCCTACTTCAAGCAAACGTTGTATAGCTTCATCAAATTCATTTGAAGTCATAAGACCATTTAGTCTGGTATCGAATTTACACTGACCAACCTTCTGATACAGACACCTTGCTGATATGTCGACTTTCTCGGTCACACAAGCCTTGACAGATCTTGGCTTTAGATGTGTTGGCATGGAGTCCACCATTGTATGGACATTTGTGAGCAGCTTTGTAACTTCATCTGGCAGAAACGGTACATTGGATTCTACAAGGCGTTTGGTACGAACAGTTTCATCTTTGATGAAGATTTCTGTCGAGGGCAACATTTTCCCCTTTGATGAAGCAGGAAGATGCACAATCTGAATACCTTCCAAATCAGCTTGTAAGATCGCCGTTGTCAGTTTGGTGCCTGATGTCAAGGACTCAATTTGCTGAAAGAACAACTTAGATGCAGCTATAATGGCCTTGAGCATGTTGGGATTTTTCATTTCTTTCATACTGTGACTTGCAAGTCCATTAAGTACTGTCGTCAACTGAGGAAATGATGGAGTCCGTGTGGATCCAAGACTGTACAGCAGCTTGCTGTAATGGATCAAACTGTCAGGCAGTTGGTAAAGGTGAGGTTGGAAGAGGTCTCCGCAAAACTGTCCGTATATTAGGGTAGGTCTGACCAGGGAGGGAACACTTTGAATGACCACGCAAGGTACGTCCGACAGCTTTTCGCTCATCAATTGACAAGATCTGCATCTATTCGTGCGATCACTGCAACGCTGATCCGTATTACGTTCACAAGCTGAATTCAAGAATCTGTAGGTCTTATCCATGACTTTGGCCAATACCTGAAAGTCTGTTTGGTTCCCTTGATCATGAACCCTGCAACACATCTTGCTCGTATTCTCAATGACGCTTTCAATGATTGGTTTCCTCACCACACCAAGCTTTTCTAGGATAGAATCCTTCTCATGATGGCATGTAAGGCTCATGCTGGAAAGGTATTCCGGTAGGAGCCTCATTGAGCACCACACAATATGAGCATTCACATGCAAACTTGATGAGTTGAATCTTACTCCCATATTCACATCCATATGATAGGGATGTAGTTTCTTTAAACTCATTTTTGGGGTATCGGGGATCATGAAGTCAATAAATTTGACACTGTTAAGAAATGAGTCATTCTTGAGAAGGTTGCAGTTCCGAAACAGTTCTTCCACGAGTGTTTCTGATTGTTCAGCTAGCATTTTTCTTTTCTTTCTTTTTTTTCTTTCGTTCCTAAGATTTGTTGACAATTCTTTTGCAAATCCAAGAAACATTTCTGCTGTAACTTCTGCTTGAACACCAAATTCATGCAAGAAGGAAGGTTGAAGCCTCTCGATGATTTTTTCCGAAGGAAATTTACCCTCTGTGAGCATTTTCGCAAACACTTTGTTTCCTCGGTCGAAGAATTCTCTGCCAACTTTCAATTCACCGTCGTTGTCTTCCAGTAAAGGGTAGTCTCTGAGTTTCATACACTTATCTATCCTTCCTATTCGGTATCTGTGTTGATAGAGGTTTTCAAGATGTTTTAGCCGTATCTCCGAGGACAACAAGTGAAAGTTGGGAAAGATGAACTTGGACAGGGTGTCGTACTCAGATATGAAATCACAACCAATTGCCTCGAAAAGTTCTTTCAAGCCGACATCTTCACATAGGAAGACTTCATTATATTCAGCCATCCACTTTGTCATCTCTTCACGAGGTAGATCCGCTCTTACCACATAGATAGTGGACGTGTTTGAAAGTGAAACGTACGTCCCGTCTAACTGTTCAAAGCAAGGGAGATTCATAATGATCCGTCTGTTGTCGACATTTTCCACCAGTCTCTCTGGCATATGGGTTGTCAAGTATTGCAGGATATGGTCACGCTGGGCGGGTGTCAACCTATCGAAAAGACTGGCGTTTGTTTGAATGACATGATCGAATACTGCAAGCACTGCATCTGGTCGATCCTCGTGGGCGACAATCTTAGTGATAAGTTGTTCTGCTTCCTCAAAGTCTAGACTCTGATCAACTTCAGAAACCCTGAGTGAACTCAAAGCCGCAAGTATATGGGACATATCACTTAGCTTACACATCACAGAAGTAGCTTTTGACAATGGTACCAGGTGGTGGGTTATACCCATTTCTCCATTCTTGCGGCACGGAAGAATGCTCCACTTCGAAAGACACGTTAACTCATCATCAGGATTTCTGCATGTAGCAAGACATTCCCATAGTCTGGTGATCCACTTCTCTGTCGGTTCAGTCTTGTCCCACTGAACATATTGGTCGCATTCGAATTTGATAGGACATAATTCCTCCCTCATCAAAGAAGCAACACATGGAATGTCAAAATGGCAGATCACATCAAAATCCTCATTGAAGTATTTTCTTATCGATCTATCCAGGAATTTGCTTCTACTGGATGGAAAGAGGTCGTCAAACTCGGTAATGTATACCGGAGTTTCAGTTGAGAACGTTCTTAGAATTCCATCTGATGTTGCTAGAAGAGGAAGACCCTCGACGTTGTCTTTGAAGTTATCACATTGTGAGCAGTAGTTCAAAATGACCCCCAAAGTGGCTTTATCATGTATAACCGTGTCAGAAATTTGCTTCGGTAGTTTCATTTGAGCCAATCCTACATCTTCAACTGCCTGGCTTGAGAGATGACTGATCAAACTAGCAGGAGTGATTTCAAGAATATCCCCTTTTCTAGAATCATGCAAGCTGTCTGAAAATATTGTTTGCACATTCTGAGAGCATTCAATTAGAGGAAATCCAAGATCTGACACAACCGACCTAAGGTTCCGATCAGTTCCGATTGGAGAGTCAAAGAAGCCTTGCACTTGAGATTCTGCAAGTGGTGTCCTCCATTCTAGAGTTCTTATGTTGTTGACTCCATCTGTGCTATCACCATCTCTGTTGTAAGATACACTACGCCTAATCGAAGGGAACATTGGCTGGGCGGAGTCGGCAATGGTTCTGTAAATGTCTTCTATGAGTTCTTTCCAGAAACTGTTCTCTGCTGTAACAGGAAGAAACGAAGTATATGACGATACAATGTCTTGCATTTCAGATTCGTCCTTTGATTCTTCGATGTGAGTCATTTTTTCAGCCTGAAAACAACAAAGTGCCTTAACATATGCAGGTGAAACGATCTGCTTCATGATTTGACGATTCCATTGTGCCTGGACGTCTTCTTTATCTCTCCAAATGTCCCGCCTTTGTTCATCTAACTCAAAAGAGCCATTTACATGGACAGGGAGGCCAGTGTCTATAGGAAGTGGAAGGAAACTGTATGCCTTCGATGAAACTGGTCGTTTACCCAAAGGTAGCGCGACTCCGCCCTGTGGCAAGACAGGCAGATCTCCTCTATTATATGCATCTAACACAGTATCAGGGACTTCCTTTGGTTTGGCAAAACCATGCTGCTGATAGATAAGCCAGTCGTCTGATTGCGTCTTCACGCTCTTCGCTCGTTGTTCTGTTACAGTGACTCTCATATCGTAATGTACTTCTGCTACTGGAATGTCTTCAAGGGACTTTGAGATCCCAGTCACTGGATCAGTTTCTTCAGCCGATATTGTGGCAAGAAATGCTTCTAAATCTAGTTGCTTCGATTCTGAGATGCTTGCCTGGACACTTGAGGTATCTTTCATGTTTCCCATTTCATCAATGATGGATATACTGACCTTTTTAACGTGGTTAAGGAAAAGGAGCAGGTCAGGTAGACCTTTCTTGAATTTCTGCATCAGTCCCTTTACGCTGTCAACATCATGTGCCTCCGAAGAGATGCTAGACACCTTTGCCATGGATTCTGTACGTAAGGGCAATCGGAACATAGTTGAACCCTGTCCTTCAAAGAACTCAGGCAGATAGCAGTTGAAAACGTTCGGGAAATCGTCCTTCAGTTTGCCTGTTGGTTTGGCCATGAAGCCTGGATACGCTAAAGTAGCGTTAGGTACATACTTTACATTTGGATCAAACATTCCTAGCGTATCGCCGTTTGTGTAGAAGCTTGGGCAGTCGGTTAAGTGATAAGCCGCGTTGAAGCCTACACCAAATCTTCCAACCTTTGACGACAGGTTCCTTTTGCTACCCACTCCTAGTCTTTGAATGCCCTCTATGTCAGCATCAGAAAATGCTTTATTGTTGTATATACAGAGAGCAGGCCCTTGCAAATGAGACATTTCATCTCTAAAGAGGCGGTCTTTTGGATGGGTACGGACATCAAGAACTAAATGCACTTCCGTGGCACAGGAATCATCCGCATTCTGCACAAGTTCTTTCAGTATTGTATCATCACAGGGGTAGCCCTCGAGTATGTTTTTTATTCTTTCTGTCAGGGGTTCACGCTGTCCAAATTGCAACAGATTCTGTGAATCGAGTGTGTTTAGGCCAGGGACAGACACGGAGTAGCTTTCGAGGATGTGTTGTCGAATATCCCGCACTCCAAGTATCTTCGCCCAAGTAAGAGGGATATCACCGTGAGCTGTTATGACATCATCTGGAACTGAAATCCAGTCTACGTCGCAGAAAGAGAGCTCATTAGCGGTTCTCAGGTAGCTGTTGCTATCGGGAACATATATATCGTTAGGAGGCACATCGTGCATTGCCAACGGATTTGCCGAGGCAGCATTGATCAGACATTTCAGGAGTTTCATAACTTCTCCAAACTCACTTTCGTTCAATGTTCCGGAAGTTGAGCCATGGATGCACTTCAGAGTGGACAAGAAGTCGTGTGTTGAGAATCTTCTTTTCATATGGAGGGTTGATAAGAGGGCTTCGAAGCCACGCAAATTGGAGGGGACACGACACAGGTGAGATCCAACACACTCTTCTTCAAATTCCAATGCCAGATGATCAGCACTCCTGAACATTTTGTCAACCAATAGACACTTCTTTGTGGAAGGTGAGTGGAAGAATTCTTGAATCTGGGCTATGCCATTACCTTTCTTCACTCGTAAGTCAAGGAATCTATAGATTTCTTGGCAAACACTTGGAAGGCTTGCAACATTTTCTGGTCTACTGCTGATGGATTGAAGTTGCTGTAATACAACATCCACTTCTGGATCTTGGACTATCCCAAGAAATGTCTTAACCTGATAGGGAATCCACATTTTACTTTCGTCTAGTACCGGGGCAACTTCGCTGACCAGTGACAGTTTTTCGGACACATATATGGTATCACGTGAAGCTTTTCTCACAGAGGAATTCCTGTAGGTGACTGGAATGAAGGCTATGTTCTTCAGTTGATTTTGAAGGCTTTGGTCCTTAGCCCATGAAGAATTCTCTTTCTTCAGTCTGTAAGTGAGGTAATCGACTAGTTCATGATCAAAAGGTTTGCTCGGCAATTTCTGTACACATTTGATGAAATCGGTGCCGGATATGTCATCTTGATCCATTCCCAATTCCACCAGAAAATGCAAGCAGTCCCAATCAGCAAAGCTGCCGTAAGGAAACCGTCTATCTTCCTCTGCGAAAAGGATACTTGCTTTTCCAGTCGGGTGTACCAATTCCGATGGCCTCTTCAAGTTCTTACCATCTGGTGAAGTTGGAATACATGCGATGGTTCTCAATGTCTCCCGTAGTTCAACGTTCGACAAACAGTAGTGAATCAGATGATCTCGTACCTCAGATGGAATGACAGATATATGTGGCAGAAAATATTTCTTGAAGAATGGATGCTGCAAACACGTACGTCTCTTCAATTGCTCCCCTAATCCCATCCTTTCTAGAGTAGATCGTATCTTCTTTGGCATCTCTGTGACTATTAGCTTCTTGTGTTGCCTTTGAAGGACCTTCTTTACTGCTGAAGCAACGTGTGGTGATTCTTGAAGTACTGGATCAATAAAGACGGTCTCTTTGAATGACCATGTCCTGTCTCCTTCCCAGAATATCTTTGGGTCACGTGAATCAGAGGCTACCAATATGTTGTAGAATCCCTTTAGCATGGCATAACCATCACTGCCTTGGGTAATTTTGGATCCATTAGGCCACAACCTGTAGAAGTTGTCTGGGGAAGTATTTACGCCTGATATGCGTACTTTGTTCGGCATTTGTCCTACCTGACACTGAAATTCCTTATTTGCCAGCAGAGTCACATAGGCCTTTGATATGATATCTTCGAAAACAGCATCATTCCATCTCGTGAAGTAGTTTGAATCTGAGTCACTCGAGGGTTTCCAGAGATTTCGACGGTCGGCGGAGGTGGCAAAGAATCCATTACAATGGCAAGGTAAGTGACTTTGTGGAACTGAGAGAGGCAAGCCATTGTAGAGTTTACCGTCTACTCTCCCAGAAAACGGTAATTTTACTGCCACGCCACCTACAGGAGCCAATCCCGATTTTTGTCCTTGTGGTGTTTGCCACATCTTGTGTGTTGACGTTTTTCCTACGCTCGTAACTGACATCAGCTTGTGTTTTCTCGGCTCCTCTTGAATCTGAAGATATTTATTTCCATAGGGAGTTATGCTTGGCACGACACATTCTTGTTTGATCAAAGGTGTGATTTTATTCTTTTTTTTGACATCCCCTGTACTCTGCTTGAATTCTGCCATGATATCACGATTGTCCGCAGACTCTTTCTCAATTGCGAACAGTTGGCTGGATTCTGATGGATGATTTGCATTAGGTAGTAGCACAAAAGCCTTGACTTCATGAATATTTTTGGTAAATACCAATAAATCTTCAGAAGAGCGCCACAGATCAATGAGTAGTGATTTGCACTTATCTTCATCGTAATGTTCGTCAGAGATCTCACCTCTCAATGCCGCATGTCTTGAGCGAAGAGGCAACCGGAATAGTGTACCATCGTAGTCAACATTTCCTTTGCTTTCTTGCAGACTACAATTGAAAACACCTTCGTATGGCGCAAATTGGTCTTTGTACATGGAAATGGCATTGTTCTTCCCTTGCAGATTTATCCTGATACCGGGACTGTCTTTGCTTTTTAGCATGGATCCAAGATGAGTTGCATGTGGATCAAATACCTGCAAGTACTCTCTACTCAGGAAGCTGGGTACATCTGTCAGATGGTAAACAGAGTTGAAGCCAATCCCAAAGCGTCCGATCTTAGACGTGTCAAGTCCTTTTGTTGCACCACCAAGCTTGGTAATGTTCTGAAAATCATCGGGTGTAAACGATGCATCATTGAACACCCACATAGCTGGCCCTTGACAATCACCCATGCCCTTGTCAAACAAGCTTGATCGTGCTCCGGAATTTTCCCGAAGGTCCAACATGAAGTGCACCTTTGTTGCTCCTGCGTCTTCTGCATTTTGAATCATTTCTTTCGGGATTGAACTCTCCAGGTAGCTATCTTTAATGATGTTCTTTATTCTTGTGGTAAGTGGTTCATACTGACCTGCTTGTTCTATCCAAGTCAAATCTTCGGCGGCAAGAATCTTCCGGCCAAGGGGTAGAATTCCCAAAGCGCGAACAATGCCTATAGGCAGTGTCCCATCAACGATGAAGGTGTTGTCTTCATTCAGCTTCTCTTGAACTTCATCGGAATCTCCGTGACCCTCGACGTCCTCAAAAACACAGCACTTAGGGTCAACCAATTCCAGGAAATTTTCCTCGTTGGTTGGTACTAGAATGTTTTGGGAAAGGTCACCTTTGCAGATTTCCGCCAAGAGAATTAGTGCCTTTTGCACTACACGTTTGTTTTCTTTGCAGAATGTCATCCGTTTTTCCACAGAACCCAACTTTGGCTCGCTCTTCTGAATCTGAATAATGATCTCATGAATCTGCATTTCTGATATACATTTCTCGACTCCAAGAGCTAGGAAAAGGCGTTCATACTTGGTGCTGAATTCTTGAGGTATGCAAGAAACGTAAGGGTGGAAAGCATTTTCACGGCTTGACAGGATTGCCCAATGAATATCCACAAATCCTGTTTCGGTCCAAATGCATGCAGGTAAGCGTGATTTCAGCTTTTGTATCACTTCCTCTTCTTTTTGTGCATTTGAAAGCAAGCTGTACAAACCATGAACCATCTTCTCTAGTTTCCTTGAACTATCAGAGGTTCCCAAAATGCCATGATATTTCGAAACTACAGCCATCTGTTCAAGGATATTTTCGATGATGGGATGTTCCTTTACTCCTAGACTACGCAGGAGGGTGTGTGGAATAGTCTTCTTGGGAAATGGCATGGTTGCACCAGAAGCTAGTATGTTAACCTTGGTATGGAGCACAGTTTCGGTTGGACTGATCATTTTTCTCTCTGACCTGTACCATGGAATGCCTTGAGGGTAGAAAGCCGGACTCTTTATAAGACATGGGATGCATCTTTTGTCTGCCAAGAACTGCTGTAAAGTTTGATTATTTTCTCCGGCCAAAGATTCCTTTAGCTTGTTTGGATATTCTCCCAAGAATGACATTAAGTCATGTGCTTTCTTGACGTTGTTCTCGCTGGCTATCTCTACAACTGACCTGGCTAATTCAGTTGCTGTGACATTACTTCGGTGACGAAAACCAAGCTCTCGTAATGATCCCAAGAGCCCTTCATTTGCATATCTCGCAGACGGAAAAGAACCTTTGCTGAAGAGCGCTGACATGTACTGGTCTTCTGGGTCAAAGAGACTGTCAGGAGATTTGAGCTCACCTTCACCGGTAAGGATAAATCCTTGTGACTTTAGCTTGAACTGATGGTTGCCAATATCTTGTTTGATAGATTTTAAATCTCGCAATATCCACATTCCTACATCCTCAAGTATAGTCTTGTCACTGACGTCACTGCAAAAAGCATTGACAATGTCTTCCAACAACTCCTTCCTTTGTTTCTGAATCACCCCTAAATCTGAAAAGAGCTTCAGAATGGAGTCGTCATTGCAGCAAATCATATCATACTCCGGAAGGTGATGTATTGGCAGTTGATCTGTAGAAGTCCGACAACAAGCAAAACTGACATCACTTGCAGACACAACTCTACCTTGGCCTGATGGAGTTCTTGGAATTGTATCGAAGAGCGGAATTTGACGAAGGAAGTCTCTTTCTGCATCGGTGAGAGAACAGCTTGTGAAGAATCTTACCAATAATTGTCTGTCGTTCTTGGAAAGTCTCTTGATAGTGTCCTGTAGCGATTTTGGATTCGGTACTGCTCTCAGTGCTCCAATTACACCCTTCCTCGATGGGATTCTGAGGTAACTCTCACTTTTGAGCAGAGCAGTGTCTATAAATGTAGGACAAGAACAGACGACGAGGCCAATCTTGGTAAGAAGCACCTCCTCTGGACGATCAAACTTGTCTGAGCCATAACTCTGGCTGATGCATGTTGAATTCTTTTTAAGGAAAGCAAGGACTACTTCACCAGATTGCCGCTCTGCAACCTGTATTAGTGGAAGGTCTACATATTTCTTAATTGTGTTACGTTTACATGTATTCAGTAGGTTCCAAATACCTTTTAGCCATTCTGGTGGCGGCTGGTTATCTTTGCCAGGATGCCAGAGTACAGTACTTCCGTGGTCCGTCACAAACCATTCTTGTGGAAGGGTGTTCCGAATTAACCGTGCTAGATTTTTATCCGACATCATTTGCAACTGGACAGATCCATGTTCAGCTTTAAAGAAAAAAAAAGTAGTGGAAAAGAGAGAAAAAAATATAAGTTGTGAAAAAAACTAGAAACCAAAGTTATGGAAATTGAATAATAGTCATTCTGATAAATATGTGTAAGACTGCTAGACGAGTAATAGGTCCATATCATTTCACACGAAAAAAAGCCTGTAGATCTAAACGTGATCTCATTTTTAAAATTAAAATTTCATCTGTTTTTCAAAGGAGAATCTACATTGCCTTGTATTTGTGAAAATGCCTATGGAATGCTCATATAAGAACTAATTGAGTATGACTATACTGAGACATAACTCGTGACAAAAAAAATTATCATAATTATAAGCACACACAGAACAACTTTTTCTCACCAGCTTTTTCCAGTTGTTTAAGCAAACCCGCATTGAGGTTTGGCTGGATGAGACTGTTACCCATGTTGTAGCACATGCTCTGCTCAAGTTCCCTGGTGGGTATGAAGACAGTCCGCGTTGAGGCAGATCTTGTGGAGAATGGCACAAAGTCGCCGTTGGCTAAAGGCAGAAGCCTTAAACCGATTAGTCGAGGGGTCTTCGTCCTGGCCATGATGTACTCTAGTAAAACCAGCTTGTCATCGCTGCTCAGGGTCTCCAGGACTCCGTGTTGACTCTTGTGAATGCAATCAATGATGACTTCAGGTGAGATCACTTTGGCGTTGAAGTTGATGTAGTCTTTGCTTTGGATGATTTTCTTGATGTGTTGAGGTATTTCAGCTACAGGGACATTAGCCGCTTTGAGGACAGTCAAGAGGATCCGTTCTGTGTTCTCGTCTACATCGGTCAAGAAGTTGAAGACAGCATCCTGGATCTTAACCCACGAACCCATCTCATTGCCCTTCTTTGTGTAGATGACTGTATGTTTGCTCAGCAATTGGTATAACTGTTTAAGAAGCAATTTCCACTGTGGTCTGACCTGACCTGGGTCTGGCCAAGCTCTGTAGATTTCATCGGGAGGCAACCTCCGCTCTTCGATGGCAAAAGTCAGCATGTTCATGTATGCATCTGGTAGGAGTTGTGTCACCAGTAAGAAGTTCCATTTCGCATCGATATCCCCTTGCACCCGGTCAGCACCAGGCCACTTGATTGATCTTCTGTCACTGTTAACACCGAAGAAACCATGGATATGAACTGGAAGTCCTGTCAAGCTCTCATCACCGGGAGGCAATGGGAGGAAACAGAACACTCGACCGCTGAAATCATCTCGTCTTTTACGCGGTATGTTGTAAGGCATGGCGACACCGACCCAAGGTATGTATCCGCTCTTGTCAATGATACTCACTACATCGTCAGTCATCTCACTGCCTCCCACAACCTGACTTACGATCCAATCCATACGACGTTTGGATTCTGCGATCTGCATAGTCAACGTAAGCTGATGAGTCAAACAGGCTCGCGTTCTTTGTCCAATTCTAATCTTACTGTTTTCTTCTAATGCATGGGAGAAGCTCTCTCGTTCGGACTTCATCAACGCAAGAGATTTGGGGCATATCTCTACTCTGGATCTGATCTGAGTTTGAGCCTGATCTATCCTTCTGCTGATGTCGATTGTCTCCAGTGATCGAAGAAACAGCAGTACGACGTCAGCATCGTCGACGAAGGATTCCAGAAGCCGTACCGAAGCGGCGTTGTCGTACACATTTTCACAGAGTTCGCTGCCCTCTTGCCGTATAGGGAATCGAAACACAGTTCCATCAAAGGATTGCCCATCACTGATGGCGTAAGTGGTTTCAGGGAACAGGTTGTTGTACGGGGTAAACTGATCCACATATTCTGGTGAATTTAAGATGTGGGCATGCTGGATCACATTCAGTTTGGTTCCTGTTTCTCCACGTCCGAAGTGACGCTCATGAGGATCAATGAAAGCAAGCGTGTCTCCGCTGAGGATGCTTGGCAAATCTAGGGGAAAGGAAAGATCATTACAAGATATAACTACATTGTTACGGATTGTGAATTAATCTAGAGTCTGGAACGACTGCTAAAGTGCATTTTATCGCTGAACAACATATTGGGCCTTGTGTGGTTAGAATTATCCAGATTGTTGAGTTTGTGTGGTTGGTTAGAGGCGTTGAGTGTGACAGCGTAAATGTTTTAGTTGAGCTTCCGTTGTAACATTAAGAATCATCGGAAGAAATAATTGGGATGTGATACTTATTTCTTATATAAATATATATCAGTGACACTATCTTGATTATTTAATATGATAAGAACACGACTGGTAATGGATATAGAGATCATGATAACCTTGCCTTCCGAAGTTGCGACTGCGCCCCGATGCGTCGGGGCGCGATGAATAACGGCCGCGTTTTAAGAGACGCATTTAGACGCGAAGGGGCGCGATAGTACCCTCACCTGATTCTTGCATATGAAAAAAAAACTGTCTATTGTTGGTATAAATCCGCTCTATTATTCTTGCGCCCTTTCGCGTCCTACCAGGCGATGGATCTCTCCCGTCACTGTTCTTCCGCCCTTTCGCGTCCTACCTGGCGAGGTAGATTATCTCTTCCGTCATTGTTCTCGCTCGTGATGCGCGATGCACAACGCCGCGGCGCAGCTTAACTTGCTACACAGAAAGTATCTGTCAGTCAAATTCTGTCTTCCCCTCCTCCTGATCTCGTCTTGATAAACGTCCCATTGTTTGTAAAAACTTGATGTATTCTTCTCGCGTCGTGATCTATTCTTCCCTCGCCGTTTTGCGTCGTAACGGGTGGGGGTATTATCTTTCTAATCATGAGTTGTGGAAGGTTTTTGATGTCCATCGCTACAGCATAGCCAGTGGTAAAGATTTTTATATTTATTAAACGCCTTCTCCATTTTGTAGGTTTTATTTAGAAATAGGTGAATGTATGTTAATGACATACATGTATCTATGATAAAACGAAAGAAGAATTCAAAAAAAAATTATTGCTTGCTTTACCTGCTGATAAAATGTCACTGTCATCATTAAACTTTTACCATTCAACAATATGGATTTAATTAACGTTTGTTTTTATCCCTTCCTGTTTTAAAATTGTCTTCTTGTAAAACTTGGAAATGCCCAATCATGTTGTTTGTCTAAATGGTTATTGGATAATGTGCTCCAGGACCATGTCCCGTTCTCTTTCTAATTCATGTTCATTATGCATTTAATACGTGATTCAATATTCTACTTATTAATGATTGTGTCTAAAGGTTTTTCAATGTCGCATTCACATTCCCAAAGATGTATGATTGGCAACATGAAATAGAATCAAATATAATTTCGGTTCCCCGTTAAAGCCCCTCTAAAGTGTTTTACCTAATTTGTAACATGATGTGAAAGAGGATGGCATTCAAGACGCATTTCTGCAAAACTAATGTGATTGAAATTTCTAATTCATGTTCATTATGCATTTTACAGGGGCTTTAAGTTTGTAACAAAGTCCAACTCCTGTCATGTTATTACCACTTTCCTGACATAAATCTACATTATATTTTGATATTCTGAAGTGGATGTCAATTTATTTTCTAATTTCATGTGACTCCAGATGAACATATCAAGATCGTTGGGTGCCGAAGACCATTTTGAATGGTGAAAAAATATTTTTCTTTCGAAGGTGATAATGTCGACTGAATAATAGATTCGGGTGAAAATTACCCCTCCCCCTCATGAAAAAGACAATTAGTATCATACCGGTGAGATGGTAGACGGAGCTGAATCCGATGCCGAATCGTCCAACTTTCAGTGGGTTATCTTCCTTGTTGCTTCGAGCTGGTTTCTGGATCCCAGCCCAGTCTTCCTCCTTGAAGAGGGCGTCGTTATACGCGTACAGAGCCCGGCCTTGATAAGGGGCGAGAGACGGCCAAATCAGGCGACTTGTTCCGTGTTCGCGGCAGTCGTACAGAAATCGAACCGTCTTGGCACCAGCGTCCTCGGCATTCTGGACGATTTCCTTTATATATACGGAAAAGAATGTACCATCATCGAGACGATTATGATTATGATTAAAATTGAATTTTTATTAAAGATAAAATTATATTTCATATAAATCGTCACAAATTCTGTCATTTATTATATGAACGTTTTTTTCTAAAGGTCTATACTTGATGTCATTAATTTGACAACATTGATGACAGAGCACCTCTGCTCTAGGAAGATTGGGTAAATATATTGGAACGAAAATATATTTGGTAAGAATAGTAAATTGAAACTTAAACAATATGTGGCTATCATAGTTATTAACAAATACCATGGATACTATATTATAATAAAATAATCATTAACATAAATTCATTGGATACTACTAAATGTAAAGCTGTGGTCACAACTCAGAGCGGCGACCGACCGATTTGGAGCCTGCTCGGTCGCCGCTGAAATTTAGGCATCGCCCAACGATTTTTTGGAGAAGTAGAGCAGGCTGTAGATCCCCAGCGATGCCTGGGCGGTGCCCTCTCGACTTCCCGTCGTTCGCAGGTCAATTTTAGGTCAAAACTGGGCGAAATCGGGGACCTTCTCCGGCGCCCCCCTGACGCTCAAGGGGGGGGGGGGGGGGTGCGATTTTTCAAATTTTCGAGGGCCCAAAACAAGTAATTAGTGCTCGGGCCCCCCTAAGAAAAACGTTAAGTTTACCTTTTTTTGGAGATCCCCCCTCTGGCGCTCGAGGGGGGGGGGGGGGGGGGATCGATTTTTCAAATTTTCGAGGGACAAAAAAAAAAGAAGCTCAGCGAACTCCTCCCCACCCCCACTGAGCGAATCTGCCGGCGCAATTTAAAATTTTCTCTGGCCACGTTCGACTTTATTAGCACATTGGTGCAGTGGCGGATCCAGGGGGGGGGGGGGCGGCACCCCCCTTGAGAAAAAAAATTCATGTAAAAAAAACGTGATTTTTAGCTTTTTTAGGGGTTGGGCCCCCCCCCCCCCCCTGGCGCTCAAGGAGGGGGGGGGGGGGGTTACAATTTTTTTAATTTTCGAGGACAAACAAAAATTTGCTCACTACCCCCCTCCCCCATTAAAATATTTTAAGGTTATGCCCAATGTTTTATGGGCTGTATATAATTGTAAATGTATCAGTTACTAAATTAGAATATAAATGACCACAGGTAAGAGGGAAGTTATTATATACGTAATTTGTTTTGGACGCTTACCTTCATTATTTGTCCATCTGCGTATTCTCTAAGAACTTTCTTCAAGAAGTCAAGGAGAGACGGTGGAGTGGGACCGAAGTGCCCTAAAAACACAAGAGAATGCTGATTTTATAGCAAAAACAATAACAATAACAATAACAATAATAATAATAATAATAATAATAATAATAATAGTAATGATAGCTACACATTTATATTGTGCACGTATCCTTCCAAGGCAATGCTCAAGACGTGTACAAAGAAGTATCATTGATAAGGCGCTAAAGTATAAAAGGAATAAATTCCTATCAGGTACCCATTTACTACACCTGGGTGGAGAGTGGCATAGGACATTAGTGCCATAGCGAAACAGTCCGTTTAGTATCCACTAGACCACAACACCGCTGGGAAAATCTCAAAGTCGGACACACAAAAGAGAGGGGGAGGGGGTAGTGAGCATAATTTCTTTTTCGTTTTTGCCCCCGGTAATTTGAAAATCGCGGAGACTGTCGCCCCCTCCCTCCCCCTCCCCCCTCCCCCCCCCCACGGATCCGCCCCGGGAGGCAGCTGAGATATCAAATTAATCTCGCCATTTTTAGGAAGGGGAAGGGGTAACCCTTAAAAAGGATCCCATAATCTGCATAGGCCTGTATCATATATACTGGCATATTGCAAAAAAAGACATTTCTCTGAGGCGACAATGTTAATCATCTCAGATGCATTTAAAATATAATAGATATAACTCGATAGAACATAAGAGAAAGATACCGGTAAAAGTCATGATTGATTTCTTATAATACCACTCCCCCCCCCCTTCCCACAGCTGCACATGTATTTAGTTGTAAATATGTGATATATTTCTTTATATCATATTTTACTATCGTAGGCCTATTAAACGCCTTTTTTCACCGTTAAAATTGTATTGCTTACAGAATTACTAAGCTGGACTAACTTTGGTCTCTCCTAAAGCCAATTTTGATAGAAATTGATAAGTGAAATCTGACATGAACTCTATGGATGTCAAAATATTCCTTGATTATCTAAAGGGTGAGTGTCAAGACAGCTAAACAAAATGCTATGCAGATAAAAGCGACAATATAATTATCGTAATAAGTTCCTCATAATATTTACATCAAACACAAAATTAACGAATAACGCATGGTCCTTATTACATAGGCCCTCGCGTATGAGCCTTGTTAAACATTTTCATGCAAGCAAGCCTGATGTTACACGAGAGTCACGTCGAAAGGTGGGCGGGCCCCCGGCTGCTCAGCCGACCGTTCATATTTAATGCCTAAAAACCCTGAGCTTCCGGGGGCTAACCCCTTCACCCCTGCCAGTGCTTTGCCCCTGGACCCCACGCCAATTTATGCTCCGCCTGCTTCGATCGCTTTGGTCTACCTGATTGTAAATACTTTAGCCCCCCCCCCCCCACTTTGAAACGTTCCGCGGGGCCTGCATGTATGTAACTTGTAAGAGTGGGGGTGATGCGGATTTTTTTTCTGCCCCCCCCCCCCAAAAAAAAAAAAAATCTTCTCATTACGCCACTGCTCCCTCGTCCCTCGCATTTCGTCCCCCCCCCCGGTTATGAAATTGGTACATCAAATAATCCAGGGAGAGTGTAACAGATGGAGATACCGAGGGAAAGATATTCAGGATTAACATGGCTTAAAGTAGATATTCATTGATTTTAAAAACTAACATTATTTTCATTATTGCAGAGTTGAAACTTTGAATCGACAAGGTTATCAAAATTCAATACTTGGAAACATTCGAAGTAATGATTATTATAAATTACAAAACGCTTAAATACAGCCCCGGCATAGCACCTGCAGTGCTCTCCGAACGCTGCTGAGATGTGTGAGATCACAGTATGGACATGACTTGCACAAGCAGACGATGTCCCATGACATTTCACACATTTTCAGTGCCTGTGTTTTCATCTTCTCTTGAGTTTTTTCTCTATACTTCACTACCGTCAGGCTAAATGTATAATCTATTGCCTCACTCTAAACCCCGAGCGGGCCCCGAGCATGGTTTTATTTTGATGACAAATGCAGCGATACAAAAATAAAGGAATCTGTCGCTTGTTAACAAAATAAGACGCCATTGTATATTCAGCTGCACACACCGGGGTATGTTCGGCGTTTCAAGAGGGAACAAATGCCGTCCTTATTATCATTCCGGGGCTTTTCAATTCGAAAGTCTGGTTTCTTTGATTGCTAATTAACCCCTATCCTGTGTATTTACAAGCAAAAGATTTTAGTTACCAGAATCGGGTCATATCCCCTTTTGAATGGTTTGACATGCCATTTCATTTATATACACTAAACTCATTATAATTTGAGAAATAATAGCTTTGCAATTATGTTCATTCTCTATGGTATGTCGTCTGCTTGGGCAGTGTTGGTCCATATAGTGACATCATTAAAACATCGTTATTTTTCCGGCGAATCTCTCGTATATCCCAGCTGCTATGGAGGTGGTTGTATTTGTATTTTTATAAATCACCCGATATGTAGTTGACCTAAAACTTGTCCGATGGCCATCTGTTAGCTTACCAGTTTCTAGTGATACATAAGTTGACATATTTGTGATCTTCTTTGAATTTCACCTTTAAGAACAAGAAATGTAACCCTCTACAGCCATCAAATCCATCAAAAGTTATCAATGCACAGATCTCCTCTGGCATTCCAAATATTACGAAAAGTTACGCAACGCCGTCTGCTTCCCTAAGTTCTATAAACACTCGGTCGTAAAAATATGCAGGCATCAAGCTTAGAAGTCATGCGTGGCACCGCAAAAATTACGTCATGTTCAGTTAAGATATATGTAGCTATAAAATATACAAAAAACAGAATCCACAACATATTAACAATGCAAAGTTCTATTGGTTATCAAATGCTTTTATCGCGCTCGGATGACTCTACCATGCAGGCGCTCGGATGACTTTTCACCCCAAGTAGGAGCCGGCAATGCAAAAGCCGCTGTCTTTCTATTCTGTTGTGTTTTTCTCTAGAGCGCTTAGGGACATGTTTCATTACTTTGTGTTATGCGGTATACAAGAACGGTTAATTATTTAGTTATTATCATTAAAAAATAACAAATTTACGTATCGTCATCTTCTCATATATAATTTATGCTTAAATTTTTTCTGTCAATCCCTGATTTTATTCATTTAAAAAAAAAAAAATCTTCTTACCAATTACAATAGAGTTTATATTCAGATCTTCCCATGATTCATTCAATAAAGTAGTGAACCTTCTGTACATCCAATCCCCAGGTATAAGCAACTTCCTTGCCCAGTAATGGAACAGTATAGTCTAATGGAGGTAACTTGTTCTGACGGATATAGGCCATTTGTGCACAGCGAGGGGATGCTATACGCTTTGCGTTGACGTGTTATTATTGATATTACTACTTGTACTACTAGTATTACTACTACTACTACCGCTACTATTACTATTTCGACTTCTTTATTTCGACTATACTGTGTATAAGCATCAATCTGCACCAGAATCTTTCTACCAGAAAAGAATGATACGGATGAATATTTGAAGAGTTTAATTCCAAAAGGAGCTAAATCCACTTTTGATGAAAATTGGGTAATTGATATCAGAGGATTGTTCACCTTAAGTTTAAGTACCCGTCTTTCAACAAAAGTATTTACCTACATTTTGGGAGCAATTATGAAGAAATGCAACTTCAGATATCACTTTTCCATAGACGCCTGTAAACAAATCTGGTAAACAAATCATTTTTTCTCTGAGGTTACACAAATGGATTAAGCTCCTTTTAGAACTGAACTCTTCATTCATAATTATCAAGACAAATTATTTTTTACCGAAATTTTTCACCCTTTTGTTGCCACCAGAGTATACAGTAGCCTTCCTTTTTCTGCCTTGACTTTGAGTAGTAGATACCCTTTATTAGAAGAAAAAGAAGACAAAAATGAATTGAAACATTAAAAGTAGAAAAGATACTAAAATATGAAAATCAAAACCACTTGCCCCCCCCCTCAACCCCGCCTCACTTGCCTTCCCTTTACAACAGTAACGTGATTCAGCTAAGCTTTGTCATTAACTATTAAAAATGACTATACTAATGCCCCAACCAGTGGTGTAGTTATACTTATGGCATGTGCCCACGTGTGCCGTCCCATCGAAAAAAAGGGGTACATTATGGGATAGAGGCAGGGCAAGGAAATTTAAAAACGAGATGAATCGTCGCCCTCGCCCTAAATCATTGTTCTCTCATACTTTACCCACTTTAAAATCAGTGCTTTCAATAGCTAGGCTAATGCTACGCCACTGATATTTTCCATTTCAAATGACCAATTTCTTAGTTTCAATATATATATCCGGGGAAGGGGGGAATAGTTTCTTAGATATTATTTTCCCTTTATTTTGCCCAAACAGAATTATTTCCATTTAAGTCAAAATGAGGGCATATCTTTCAATCCCCGTTTACTTACTCAGCTGGATGATTGTGGATGGTCACAGTTGTCATCGACCCATTCATTACGATGCCTTCGACCTTTGACCCTTCAGAGGCATTGCAAGTTTGAGCACCTCCCCTCTGATGAACTATTACAGGTTCTGTAAAATGAAAGAAGGGTGTTATCTATTACAATTAGATACATAAGCAGCATCATCATCATCACCACCACCATTATCATCATCACTTTCCTCATCATCATCTTACTTCAAGCAGCACTTGTACGAAGCACTTGTTAAACGTAAATAAATCATAATATCGTCTTTAAAAATGAGTGGGCATTGTGACTATACATGTAGTTTTTTTTTGTTCTGTATATAGTTTCATGGTATGAACAACTGCATGGGGAAAGTTGTGGATCGTTGTCGCGGTTGTGATATCGGAACATTTCAAGGATATGCATGATAGTCAATTATACTTTGAGCTGATTTTTGGGGCATTACTTTTATAGTTCAGAAGACAATAGAATTCAACAGGAAATTACATGTGAGATGGTGAGGATAACTTTAGGCATAGGCCTATCTAACGTACGGAGTTCGATGTATTTCCTTGTCTCAAGACCCTGGAAAAGAATATGTTTAAACATTAAATTTTGTGGGAAGGTTTGGTACAGCATCCAAAAGAAACTAAGTAGGGGCCCTAGGGGGATGAGGTTAATGTGTCTTAGTGAAATCTACACATCTATAGTGTTTGGTGATGCTGCTCCTAGTAGACAACAGTCAGAGTCACTAGTGGCGATCCCTACATGTGCGTCATCCTTTTGTTTCAGGGAGAGGAGAGGGGATCTATGTCCCTTCTTCGACCATATATGACACAAAACCCGCTGCCAGTGTCGGGGGGGGGTACATTCGCATTGCGATATTTCTAGTTATCAATCCCTATGAAAATTTGTTTTCATATTCTCTATTGAAACCAAAGTCTGTCCAGTGAATTTATATTTGTTTTCAATGAATTGTCCTTCCTTCCTTTCTTCCTCACTCTCTTCCGTTATCTGAAGGTATGACTTATTAAATTGTACATTTTTTTAAAGACATGGTATAGTCATGGGAATGTTTATTTCTACACTCTCCTGATTTATTATCGAAATATGATAGCAGTCAGATATAAATAAAAGATAAACATAATATAATGTTTGGTATTTGTTTGTATCGCTCATATGGGAATAAATGCTATTTGCCCCTTTTTTCACAAAACCTATAAATACGCCATTCTATTTCATTTTGTGCTATCAAGATTCATTCGTGATAAATAGTGATCATGATTTTTTTTTTAGTCACTTTTCTTGCTTTTTACAGTACCACGTACAACCACAATATTATGAAGAGACGATGGAAGAGATAGCTCGCAGAGAGCACGACCCGACATCGCCCGGACAGGGTGTGTACAGGAAAAGAACCGACGACGACGATGTCAGTTACGATGATGGAGGGACGACCTCGGAATTTCAGTCGGATCAACCCGCTACCATCTCACACACCACGGTACAACCCAAGTACCTTATACCTGAGACCACCCTCTTGCCCTAAAGCCCTACATCCCCGCCCAGTGCAGTGACGCACGCAGGATTTTTTCAAGGGGGCGTTTTAAAATCTAAAAATAGCACCGAAAATTTCGCAACGACTCAACCATTTCATGCGAAGGGCTTCTCACTGAACATGAATGTAAGAAAGAACCAATGGAAATGCATTCCGGAAAGTCACCGGGGAACGGCGGACTGTCGAAAGAATTCTATATTACCTTCTGGGATATTGTAAGGGAACCCTTACTTATTTCTTTGAATTATTCTTACCAGGAGGTCGAGCTATCTACAAGTAAAAAACAAAGTTTTATCTCTTTAATTTGTAAGCCGAATAAAGACAAACGTCTTTTGAAAATTCAGTAGATATAAGAGGAATAGTAGTAGGTACGAGTGAATTAAAGCTGTCTATGTATGCAGACGATTTTTGCTCTTTTTGTTCAGATGTAAAATCGCTTACTCATTATTTGATATTATACAACAATTTGAGAAATGTTCCAATTTGACTAAAAACCTAAGTAAAGACAGAAATACTGAAAATTGGATATGTACCAGACGTTTAGTTGACTGTCAACGTGAGGCCCAATTCTGTTGAGAATAAGGCGTTCAAGTAGCTTGTATGTTTGGCACAGGAGCGAGATCGGTCGAAAGTTATTGGCTTCGTTCGAGTCCTTTCCTGGCTTGAGGATAGCGACGACTTTGGTTCGGAGCCACTGTTTTGGGACACAGGTGTTCTCGATGCAGTTGTTAAACATGTCTAGCAGCCATTTCTGTGCTACAGAGCCCATGATTGTGTTTGATCTGCTCCGATCTGATGTCATCGATGCCTGCCGCATTGTTGACCTGTAGCGTGGAGATACCTTTCTGTAGTTCTTCTTCAGAAATAGGTCTTGTGAAAAGAGACATGTTCTGGTCAACTCCAGGTATTTTGTGCCTGTGTTAATAAGTCGTCTTGGGGGCCTTTCAATTTTTCAAAAGCTGATTTGCTACTTGGTTTTCCGTAACGTTATAAAGCTGTTGCGCTCTGGTGCTGTCAATTCCGAGCTTGCGTATGGTGGCCCACACTTTCCTGCTACTGTGTTTTAGGTCTGTAGCTTCAATCATTTGCTGCCACATCTTCCTATGTCGTTGGGAATATATCTTTGATATGAGCTCTTCTCCAAGGTTGATGGTGTCCTCTGAGAAGGGATCTGTGTCGTAGGCTGTGGTGTAGTTTGCCAGAAGCTGACTTGATTCCTCATCGATGCCTGGAATGTACGTCGTGCGGCAGCCTCTTGGGATATGTCTACGTGACACCTTCTTGACTATATCTAGGATTCATAGTTCTTTGGATCCGCAGGGAGATGTGTTAGGGCATGATCAAGGTGTTTATTGAAAGAAGGCCAGTCTGCCTTAGCAAAGTTGAACCTGCGCTTGAACGGGGTCTTGTTTGGTGCGATAACTGCAGTTAGTTGAATGCCGATGGGTCGGTGTTGGGATCTTGGAATCGGCTCAGCTACAAACTTACGACTGGTGGGAGCAAGCAGCCTGCTGCAGAAAACTAGATCTGGGTTGTAACGTCTCTTACAGCAGGCACTGGCAAAAGACTTTGGGAGCTTTGGATCGTGGATTAGTTTTAGGTCGTTGTTTTGGGCCCATGTTTCAACTAGTGCTCCATCATCTCCAGTGATATTATATCCCCATTGCATGCTGTGGCTGTTGTAATCGCCAATTACAATATGCCTATTGGTAGTGGTGGAAGGATACGAAAAAAAGATGTTTGGTGCCTTGTAGATGGAGGAGATCGTTAGACCTTTGATTGTCACATTCAGCACTTCGATGTCTTTATTGTGGGTATAGGATGTAGAATCCGGTCTGATCTTCTCGATCGTGAAGATAGCACTTCCATATTGGCGATGTGGCCGCTCGATGGCAAGCTTCATACCCTTGACCTTGGGCCGTGTATTGTCGCTGCCGCGATGAGTCTCTTGAAGACATAGCACATCGCAGTTCATTTGTCTGCAGATATGTGCAAGGACTTCCTCCTTGACATCTGATATACCTTCGGCGTTCCATGATAGCACCGTCAGGGCCGGTTGTGAGAGGGGTCCTTCAGCGGAATTGCTCTGG